CTCCTCGTTTTCGAAATTCCCACAAAGATGTCCACCAATAAATTTATAACCTCCCCCACATTATCGGCGATGCTTTATCGCCAATCAAGTCTTGGACTGGCGGTTGCCCCAAGATCAGTCTCTCAGCAAGCGTCAGAAGTTTTCTTGCACCTCTTTGTACATTCTGATTTATTTTATATTTTTTGTGAGATTTTAAGCGAGCCTGTTTTGCCAAATTGAAAATCATGTGATTGTGACTATCATCCCCCAAAATTCAAGTTCATTTGACAAACTTTGGACACTTATGAGTAAATACCGCTTTTTGGTCGCTTCTCCTCAATTTCCTCAAAGTCCTCATTTTACTCAATTGAGCAAAATGAGTACTTTGAGGAAATTGAGTACTTTGTGGAAATTGAGGAGAAGCGACCAAAGTCCTCACTTTTGGTGGCTTCTCCTCGTTTTTGCCTGAGCCAATCAGATTATTCTATGTTTTTGTTTGTTTGTTAAGTATGAGTTGCTCCTTTTCCTCCACGCGATCACTAATGACCTAAGAGGGTCTTTCTGTTTTCCAACAATGACAAAAATCCTCGTTCTCCCGGGTGTTCCTGATGGGGAGGAACTCACGCTCCCTACAATAATCACCTCAATTGATCTATCTGATGGGGAGGAGTTGGCACCCCCTACAAAAATCAAATCCAGTGACAATTGGACCATTAAGACCGTTGTTTATTCTAGTGAGGATGAATCAGATATAGAAGACGTTCTGCTAGGAAATTGGGACCTCATTGGACAATTTTTCCTTCTCTCACCAGATGAAAGTTATGTTCGACGTGTTAAGATTGTTGAGCTTAACTACAAGCACAACCGCAACAAGGACATTCAGCCTGCACATATTCAACTATGCCTGAACATTGACAAAGGTGAATATGAACGTGTCATGGCTTACCATAACATCCACAAGTGGTCAGAAATTGATGCAGACACCCCCATTGTTTGGAAGCTCAAGCGAGTTGTATGCCGCCATCACTACATTCGACTTGAACACCCTTCTTACCTGGGTCTGACCTATTGTATGGCCATTGGATGGAAACATGGGGAGAATACCCCAGAACCACTGAGCATCACTGGAGCCGATGATTCAGTGACCTACACTATACATGCCAGAAATCACAACCTGTTGGAAAGTCAAGGTTGTAAACTTCTTGTAAATATAGTCAAGGACAAGAAGAAACTTCTTTGTCCAACCAATCAAGTCAAGCCGAGATTGCTACACACTACTTCACCAAAGTATATGTATTACTACGAGATCCAGAAGGAGCACAATGGTGTCCTTCAACTTGACAAACTCCATGGCAACACCAACTGGAAACACGCCACCAAAGTCAAAATAGATCTGCTTGCAAGGTACAAGGTCCTTGTGGATATGGGGAGAGGAATCCCAACACCAAAAGATCACCAAAAGTTCCAAGTCCGACATGCCAATGCCCTTAAACATTGTGACAAACACAAGCCCAGACTCCTACCTTATGGTGACTTTACCTACATACCGCCAAACAAAACAAAACCCTACTGTCTATTGACAGACCAATTGGTTGCTGGTATTGTTGGAAATCGGTTCTGGCGGACATCAGACAAGCGACTGGCTTGTCGTCGTCCAAACCAATTGACAACGTTGTGGCCCATCAAGCCATGATTGCCAACCAGCCGTGCCAGCATGCGACCCATCAAGTTGTCATGCATAGGCACTAACCATAGCGATCTCCGATCTGTCTAATATGAAATAATCATC